AGGATAGCGTACAGTGACGTATGTATGGTAAAGGGCAGATGCCATCACTGCGCGACCAGACGTTATAGTGAATCGCTCTCTCTCTCTTTCTTTCTCTCTCTCTCTCTCTCTCTCTCTCTCTCTCTCTCTCTCTCTCTCTCTTCTCTCTCTCTCTCTTTCTCTCTCTTCCCTTCTCTCTCTCCTCTCCCCTTTCTCTCTCTCTCTCTCTCTCTGTCTGTCTGTCTGTCTGTCTCTCTCTCTCTCTCTCTCTCTCTCTCTCTCTCTCTCTCTCTCTCTCTCTCTCTCTTCTCTCAGTGACTCTCTCTCTCTCTCTCTCTCTCTCTCTCTCTCTCTCTCTCTCTCTCTCTCTCTCTCTCTTCTCTTCCCTCTCTCTCTCTCTCTCTCTCTCTCTCTCTCTCTCTCTCTCCTCTCTCTCTCTCTCTTCTCTCTCACTCTCTCCGGACAAGACAAACACTACGAAAAGATAATTAGAAGGAAAGAGAGATAAACGATGTTAATAGGACACATGTTATTGAAACGGATAGCTGAATAAAATAAATTCATTTAGGAATTAAAGACACACTCGAATAGAGAACGCGCATAGAGCAATAACGGAAGAACAAGAGACGACACACTAAAGCAGACATACAAATTAAAGAAAAAAAAAGATAACCTCTTTAAACTTCAGAGAATCAAAATTAATATAAAAAGAAACGGAATACGGTACATCCACACAAAATAAAAATAAAAATAATAAATACAGGACGTCCACTTAACAATAAAGTACACTCGATAAAAAGAGAGAGAGAGAGAGGGAAAAAAGAGGACACACACACACTACGGAAGCTGAAAAAGGGGCAAGTTCACCAGCACAGAAGTTGCGCGTCCAAATTGCGGGTGTGAAGCAACCACCTCGTCGTGTACGGGCGGTCGGGCGGTAGAGTGGGCGGGGGCGGGGTGGGGTGGGGTGGAGTGGGGGGTGGTGGGGCCGAGCGGGCGTTATAGGGGCCAAAAAACTAATCTTTCATTACCTTCCTCGTTATTGTCTTCCTTTCTCTCTTCCCGCTCTCCTTACTACCACTTTCTCAACCCCTAACTCCCTTTTCACCCTCTTTCTCCTCCTCCTTCTCCTTCTCCTTCTCTTTCCTTCTTCTTCTCCTTCTCCTTCTTCTTCTTCTCCTTTCTTTCTTCTTCTCTCTTTCTTTCCCTGTGCTACCTCCACCCTTCTTCTTCCTCTTTTGACTCATTTGCTCGCTTTTTCTTCCTTATTTTTCTCCTTTCCCCCTCCCTCGTTCTTTCTTTCTTGTTTTATATTTATTTCTCTTTCTTTATCTGTTTCTCCCCCTCTCTCTTCTCTCCCTCCCTCCCTCCCTCCCTCTCTCCCTCTCTCCTCTCTCCTCCTCTTCCCTCCCTCCCTCTCTCTTCTCTTCTTTCTTTCTTTTTTTCTTTCTTTCTCCTCTCTCTCTCACTCCCTCTCATTTCCTTCCATTTTTTCCCCTTTCCTTCCGCTTATCCCTTATCCCTTCTTCTGCCACTTCCTGTCCATTCTCCATTCGTCTTTCCATTTCCCCTCTTCCCCTCCCCGCCACCATCTTTACCACCCCACTTTCCCCTATCCTTTCTCCTTCTCTTTCCCCCTCCCTTGTCTCGTTTCCCCTTTTCCCTCTCTTCTTTCCCTGGGGTCCTTTCTTCTTCCCATCTCTCTCCTTCTCTTCAATCCACTCCATCCTTACCCTCCTCTCCCTCCACCTTACTTCTTTTATCCCTCTTCTCCCCTCCTACCCCCTTCCTTTCTTCCTTCCTTCCTCCGTTTCTCTCTTCCTCTTCTCCCATCCTATTCCGTCTTTAGCTCCAGTACCCCCTTCTCTCTCTCTCTTTCCTCCTCCTTCCTCCCTTAATTCCTCCTCTTCCTCTCTCCCTTCCCCCCTTCTCCCCACTCCCACTCCCCCTCATTCCCTTCCTTCCCCTTCCACCTTCCCTTCCTTCCCCCCTCCCTTCCCCTCCCTTTTCCTCCCTTTCTTCCTTCCCCTCCCCCTCCCTCTTCCTCCCTCCCTTCCTTCCCCTCCCTCTTCCTCCTTCCTTCCTTCCCTCTCCCCCTCCCACCCCCACTCCCATCCATCACAGCTACAAGGGTCAAACAACGTAATGAGCAAGTCGGGTCTCCGCACCTATGTTCACCTGACCTGCTGCCTATGATTATCACATTATATCCAATTCGATATCCGCCCTTCGTGAGGGAAGGAGGGTAGGAGGGAAGGAGGGGGAGGGAAGGAGGAAAGGAAGAAGAGAAAGAGAGGAGGAGGGAGGGAGGAGGAGGGAAGGAGAAAAAGGAAGAAAGAAAGAAAGAAAAAGAAAGAGAGAGGGAGGGTAGGGAGGGTAGAGAGAAAGAGAGAGGTGAGAAGAAGTGGAGAGAAGGAAGAGAAGTGTGAGAGAGAGAGAGAGAGAGGGAGAGAGAGAGAGAGAGAGAGAGGAGAGAGAGAGAGAGAGAGAGAGAGAGAGAGAGAGAGAGAGAGAGAGAGAGAGAGAGAGAGAGAGAAGAGAGACGAGAGAGAGAGAGAGAGAAGAGTGTTGCAAGTTCTTTGGACTAATCATTCACCATGCATCTCTGTTTTCTTCTACCATAGTGTTTATATGCGTAAATTTGCCCTTACTTATCTCTCTCTCTCTGTTCTATCTCTTCTTTCTCCTTCCTCGCCCGTTTCTCTTATCCACACTCCTTCTCTCTTTAATATTTCCCTTCTCTGTTCATCCCTTCCCCCCTCTATCCTCCTTTTTTTCTCAATAACTCTTCTTCCTTTTTTCTCTCTTCCTTTCCTTCTCTCCCCCTTCTTTCCCATTATGATCTCTTCTTCCTACTTCATTTTTCTCTTCCTTTCCTTCTCCCTCTCCCTTCTTCCTTTTTCCTCTCTTCCTTTACTTTCTCCCCCCTCCTCTCTCCCTCTTCCTTCTTCTTCCTTTTCCGTCTCTTCTCCCCCCTTCTTTCTCCTTCTCCCCCGTTCTCTCCCTTCTTCTTCCTACTTCTTTCTCCTCTCCCCCCTCATTTTTTCCCTCTCCCCTCTTCTTCCTTTTTCCTCTCTTCCCTTCCTTCTCCCTCTCCCCTCTTCTTCCTACTTCTTTCTCCCCCCCCCCCCCCCCCCCGCGGCGTGCCGGTCTTTGCAACGGGCGGAACACGACGCTTATTAAACACAAACGACAGGAAACTATCGCTGCTGCGGGGAATAAAAACAAACACGGGGGGGGGGGGATCGTGCCGGGCGTTCTCTCCCGCTCTTTATCCCTCCTCTTTCTTTCTCTCGTTCTCTCTCTCTCTCTCTCTCTCTCTCTCTCTCTCTCTCTCTCTCTATCTATCTATCTACTCTCTAACTCTATTTCTCTCTATCACTTTCTTTCTTTCCTTCTTTCTTCTCCTTTCTTTCTCTCTTCTCTCTCTCTCTCTCTCTCTCTCTCTCTCTCTCTCTCTCTCTCTCTCTCTCTCTCTCTCTTCTCTCTCTTCTCTCTCTCTCTCTCTCTTTATTTCGCTCGTTCTCTCTGTCTATCTGTCTGTCTGGCTGGATCCGTCTCCGTCTCTCTCTCTCTAGCTCTATGTCTCTCTCTCTCCTTCCTTCTTTATCTCCCTGTCTCTCTCGCTCTCCCTCCTTCGTTACGTCCCTGTCTCTCTTTCCCTCTCTTTCTTCCTCCCTCTTTCTCTCTCTCCCCCTCTTTCCCAATTTTTCCATGGATGCTTCCGTTCATAACAGCACAGCATGTTAGAATGTTCTTTCCCCGTCCCTTCGTCATATTGTTCTGTTCTTCCGAGCCCTGGTTACGTGTTCTTCAATTCCGTTACGTGTTCTTCAACTGTTATGATGCTGATCGGTTCCCACACTTTGTCTATTATGCTATATCCTATTTAAGGTGTTCTATCGCTCCTCGGGTGTACAATCAAAGCATTTTTACATCAATTAATAAAAAAAAAAAAAAATAAAAGTCAAACAAATAATATACAAGAAAAAAACACAGAAAAAAAATCCGTATATGATTTTAAAAAAGATTCAATTGAAGAATCACCGAGTGAATCGCGTTTGCAGCTGCAATATGATATTAAGATAAAAAAAAAAACATAAAAAAAAAAGAAAAAAAACACGCCGGAGGAAAAATAAAGATAAAAATAACATCGCCGGGGGAAAAATAAAGAGAAAAATAACATCGCCGGGGGAAAAATAAAGAGAACCCCCCGCTAAAATGTTATGATAACGGCAACAAGTGTGCAAAAGCCGTATGCAATGAGAGGGAAGGCAAAAACGCGACGGCACGGCAGAATGGAAGCCAACACGTCAACAAAAAGGCTCATTTCCCTCACGTAATGTATTCCACATTCATTCAAAGAACAGGAGGAGAGGGAGAAAGACGAAACCCTCGCTCCCCCCCCCCCCTCTCCCCCTTATCACCCCCTACCACCTTCCACTCCTAAACACTCCTCTCTTCCCCCCCCCTCCTCCCCACACCACACACACACACCTCGCCCCAATCCCAACCTTTGGGATACAACCCAAAAATATTAAACAAATAAAACACAATTCTTTCTACACTACCTCCCACTCCCTAAAAAAATACGTTGAAATGGGTAAAGAGAAAAAAACGAGAGAAAAGGAGAAAGAAAGGGGAAGGAGGGCGGGAGGAGGGAGGGGAGGGAGGAGAGAGAGAGAAGAGAGAGAGAGAGAGAGAAGAGAGAGAGAGAGAGAGAGAGAGAGAGAGAGAGAGAGAGAGAGACACAAAAGAGACAAAAGAGAGAGAGAGAGAGAGAGAGAGAGAGAGAGAAGCAGATACAAGAGAAAAGAGGAGAGAAAGCGAGAGCGCGCGAGAAAGAACAAAAAAGAGAGAAGAGCGAAGTGAGAGAGAAAGAGAAAGAGAAACAGACTAAGAAAAAAAAAGAGAACAAGAAAGAAAAAAAGAGCGACAGAGCGAGAGAGATAGATAGATAGATAGAGAAGAGAGCGAGAGCGAGAAGAGAAGAGTAGAGAGAAGAAAAGAATGTAGCAGAGATGTTATCAGTGGACATCCGGTGAGAGAAGTGTCGGGTGGGCGCGGGAATGGGCGTGTTGCCGTAACATGACAACACTTCAGAGAAGAGAGATATAACGTCCGTGGCATACATAGCCTCTCTGACATTCACGACATATATGACGCATATATCCTATATATATACATGGCAAAAATAGTATATAAGGCGTTCATGTCACATATGCCGCATTTCGTACATATGACATACATGGCATATGAGATTATACGACGTCCATGACAGATATGAAGCATATGACACACACGGCCTACATATATATGACATCTATATAATATATGACATCCGTGACACCTACCCACATGATACATAGGCCTACAACGTGCATAGCAAGTAATTATGACCTTTACGATACATATGATATACTTAGTCTGCTTTAAAGTTGTCTGTTTCTTTGCGTTGATATCAGTTTGATATCAGCTGGGGAGGGGGGGGGGTAGCACCAAGGGTCGTGAATGACTCGCTTAAATGAATGAATGAAAGTGGGAAAAAGAGTAAATGAGCATTGATGAATGAGTGAAAGGAATGGATAAGGGAGGGGAAGAGAGAGAGAGAGAGAGAGAGAGAGAGAGAGAGAGAGAGAGAAGAGAGAGAGAGAAGAGCAGAGAGAGAGAGGAGAAGAGAGAGAGAGACAAGAGAGAGAGAGAGAGAGAGAGAGAGAATGAGAGAGAGAGAGAAGAAGAGAGAGAGAGAAGAGAGAAAGAGAGAGAGAGAGAGAGATGAGAGAGAGAGAGATGAAGAGAGAGAGAGAGAGAGATGATGGAGATGGGGAGAGGAGGAAGAGGAAAAGTGGCAAAGCCAATAAAAACATCACGACCAAACATAACATTTCTTCGTGAAAAAAAAAAAATCCAATAAACAAGATACTACTCCCTTCCCTACCTTAACACCACCTTCTCCTCAACCTTCCCTTCCCCTTTAAAAAACTTTCCCTCCTACTCCTCACTCTCACATTTCCCTATTCCTCACCTCCTTTCTCCTACAGCCTTCCTCCCTCTTCCCTCCTTCATACCTTTTCAACCCCTCCCCTCCCCTTTAAAAAGTTCCCTTCTTTCCTCACTCCATTTTCCCTCATACCTTCACACCCTTTCCTCCCTCCTCCCTCCTCCACTCCCTTCCCTCCCTTCCTTCCCCTTCCCGCCTTCCCTCCTTTCCTACCGCGCCTCTCCTCCTTCCCTGGAGACAAAAAATCCAAACCATTCGGAAAGTAGCCTCCTCGTTCCCACTGCCTATTCCTGAGCAACGCGAGGAGCCTAGTTGTGTCTCCGTGATGTGTGTGTGTGTGATGTGTGGGTTGTGTGTGTGTGTGTGTGTGTGTGTGTGTGTGTTGTGGTGTGTGTGTGTTGTGTGTGTGTGTGTGTGAGAGAGAGAGAGAAGTGCAGAGAGAGAGAGAGAGAAGAGAGATGAGAAAGAGAGAGGAGAAGAGAGAGAGAGAGAGAGAGAGAGAGAGAGAGAGAAAGAGAGAGAGTGTGTGTGTGTGTTTTCACCCATTAGACTTAAGGCGAATGGCATTCGAAATTCAACAATGTTTTTGTTTGATTGTTTTGTCATACTGAGCTATTAGGATTTGTTTGGGATCGATTTCTTTAAAAATTATATGATTTTCTATAATCGTTAGACATGATATTTGCAGAGATACTTCAAAGGTCTCATGGATGATGATGATGATGATTTGATGATGATCATCATCATTGATGATGATGATGCTGGTGATGATGATTGATGATAACAATCATGATGATGATGAGGAAGATTACAATAACAACAACAAAAGCAACAAACAACAACACAGTAATAAACCACAATCACACAAGTATCACACAACATAGTAGTAAACAACACAATACGCAGACGCTAAACAACAACAACAACAAACACACACCTACCATTACCCTCATGATTACAAACATCTTCCGAGTCACTCAACACTTCTCATCCTTCTTTCTCCCTCAAGAAACCTTTCGCGCTGAGAACGGAAACGCCGCCAAGTGTGTTCAACCGTTTTTACTCGTCTTTATTTTATTTTTCTTCTTTCTTTCGTGTTTTTTTTTCGTTTTTTTTTCTTTTTCTCTCCCCCATCCATCCAGCGGGCAGGTGCTAGTCGCGGTCCATAATGAGCACGAGATTGACAGGCGATAAAAAATCATAAATGCCACTCATTAACACGATCAAAGTCGATGGTATCCCCCTTGTCACTCTGTCTCTGTCTGTCTGTGTGTCTTCTTTCCTTTCTTTCTTTCTTTCTCTTCTTTCTTCTTCTTTCTTCTTTTCTTTCTCTCTCTCTTTCTTTCTTTTCTTCGCTCTCTCTCTCTCTCTCTCTCTCTCTCTCTCTCTCTTCTCTCTCTCTCTCTCTCTCTCATCTCTCTCTCTCTCTCTCTCTCAATCTTTACTCTCTCTCTCTTCAAAACTTCTCTCAAAACTCACTTTTCTCCCTACATACCTAACTAACTTCTTCCTCACTCTATCCCACTCGACTTCTCTTCTCCCCTCTACTCTTACACCCCCACAATCACACCCATTCCCTAACCCATCTACCTTCACTAGCATCTCCTAACAACACAACTCAACCACTCTCTATTCCAATAACGCTCTCTTCCTCCCCACAAACCCCCTATCACCCACCATCCTCCCCACTATCATCTCTCCTTCTCTTCCCACTCTCCCAACATCTCACTCTTCACTATCGGTCACACACACCTCTCTCTTCACCCCACCGCGCGTTCCCCCTATCCAACATAACCTCCAATATCCATCTCCTCCTTACTCTCCCTCTCTATTTTCCCT